TTGGGTCTGACAATAACGTCTTAGACACCACACTACGTGAAACAGAAACATTCCTTAAAAGTTTTAAAAAAATATTTTTGAAAAGTTATTTATTACAAAAGTGCTTTTTTCTTGATTTGTGGGTTTACTAATCTTATTTTTAAATAAATATTTAAATGTGTTATTTCTAATTTCTAAATATAGAAACGAATAAACCTTCACTATCTTATTATAAGGAGTCCTGGGATCAAAAGGTTTGGGAATCATTCCCTCCTACTCTGTAACTCAGTGTGTGTAAACCCTGGGAAAACAGTGTTAATGTAAGTATTCAGTCTAAAAACCATACAGCCCAAAAAAACACACAAAAGTAAAAAAAATCAAAACCAACAAAGACCTTTGGGAAAATGTCCAAGTAACCTTCAGAGGAGAAAGTACTTACTTCCACAGGGGTAGATTCAGGTATTTCACGCAATATTACTATGCAGCGATTCTGATTTGGCCTTACTTTCTCTCCCTTTTCATCCACTTGGACTAAAGGTAAAGCTATAAAGAGAAGAAAAATCAATGGTAAAACAAAAATATTAAAATGTGATATGCCAGTGGAATGTGTTACATTCTATTACTATATTACTAAATACGCTAAAGAAACCTACAAATAATGGACAAACTGTCAAAACTTTTGCTAGTCTAACACAATCCAAAGGTTTTAAACCAATCTCACGTTAGTTTTCAAAACTAAGGGATTCTAATGCCCTATGCTGTTGTCCCATCACTGGTAAATGCTTACTGGTTAAAAGACAAAACACATCAACGCAAAAGTCACACTTGACTAATGGTAAATTAGGATTATGACTTTTAAACTCAAACAATAATACTTTCAGGCTACTAGACCATCAGTCTACTAGTGGCAAGAATGGTTGACTCCTCTGCCTCTGGGAAAATCCTATTTTTAAGAAAATCAGAATCAGTATTTAAAATGTATTCATCACTGACAAGCACCTAGTGACATTTAAAGAAGAATTTTCTGGAAACTCCTAGCCTACAGTTCTAAGACCCAGTAGAAGGGCTCTATAAAAATTATAGGCTGTGCATGGCCTCAGACCAGGTTACGGTTCTTCTAAGACGTGCCTTGCTGGCTTGGACCAGGTTCCTGGTTCTCTGAGAGGGGCTGTGCTGGTCTCGGACCAGGGTTTCCTGGTTCTCTGAGAGTTGGCTGGCTGCTCGACCCAGGTTCCCGGTTCTCTCTAAGAGTGGCTGTGCTGGCTCAGACCAGGTTTTCTGGTTCTCTGAGAGTGGCTGTGCTGCTCGGGACCAGGTCCTGGTTGCTCTGAGAGTGGCTTGCTGGCTTGGACCAGGTTCGCCTGGTTCTCGAGAGTGGTGTGCTGGCTCGACCAGGTTCCTGGTTCTCTAGAGAGTGGCGTCTGGCTCGACCAGGCCACTCTTGGCTCAGGGAGTTATTAATTGGTGCCCTTGACATAAAATACTGTTTTGAAAAGTATTTATCACAAGTGCTTTTTCTGATTTGTGGGTTCTATAATCTATTTTTAATAAATATAAAATGTGTTATTCTAATTTTCTAAATATAGAAACGAATAAACCTCACTATTTATTATAAAGGAGTCCTGGGATCAAAAGGTTTGGGGAATCATTCCCTCCTACTCTGGTAACTCAGTGGTTGTAAACCCTGGTGGAAAACAAGTGTTTAATGTAAGTATCAGTCTAAAAACCCATACAGCCCAAAAAAACACACAAAAGACAAAAAATCGAAAAACCAACAAAGGACCTTTGAAATGTCCCAAGGTAACCTTCAGAGGAGGAAAGTACTTACTTCCACAGGGTAGGCGTCAGGTAGTTCAGCGGCAAATTACTATGGCAGCGATTCTGATTGGCCTACTTTCTCCCTTTTCATATCCACTGGGCTAAAGTAAAGCGTATAAAGAGAAGAAAACTCAGGAATGAAAAACAAAAGATTAAAATGTGATATGCCAGTGATGTGTACATTCCTATTACTGAATATTAAACTACGTAAAGAAACCACAATAATGGGGACA